GAGTTCTTTGCAGGAAAAAGGGGAACACATAATGTCCACACTAAATAAAGAGCAGCTTCATGTCTGGAGTGAAGGAACTCCAAAATAAAACCAAAGGTCTTCAAAGGAAGTGTCTGTTTCCATGGCTCTGCTTCTAAAGGACTGTAGAAGAAGGAAAGGCTGCTCGATGGCTTTTAGGACTACAAAGAGTGCTACTGAGATGACTGCACACCTGTGGGTCCAACCAGATCTTGGCAAACCTGCTGACTTGCAGGTAGAGGCAGTCAGGCAGTGGGTATCTAGAGTGCTCCCAAAGGGTTAGCGATGGGAACATCAGCTGGGATACCCTAATACAGGAAGAGACCTAAACAAAGAGAAATCTCCACTAGAATGCACCATAGAGGTCAACGGGGATATAAAATACAAAGTCAGTCAAAACTCAAGGGAATCCCCAGCCCACAAACCCAAGAGGTCGAGACCCAAGACAGCATCTTGACAAGAGCAGGCCATCTCAGCATGTAGAAACAGAAATATGAACTCAAGCAGACCCAAGCAATCTCTCTGGATTTTCTGTTTAAGAGACGGATGCTTTCCTGAGAATTTTATTGCTGGAACATTTTTATTCGCTCTTCTTTTTTACACTTGGTCAAACAGAGTTAAGAGATGGACAGCTGGTTTTCTCTTGTTTGAAAACCTTGATGGATGTCCTTTCAGATGAGTTCTGCAAGGGATGGTGAGAGAGAAACTACAAGAGCTTTTATCAGCAGTGAGCCAGATGTCTGCATTATTTCTTCTCTTTTCAGCTGACTCCATCATTTTATTTTTTTCCTTCTTTTCCTCCCCCCTTGAATACTTTGTTCCAGCCAAGAAGATGTGCCTTTGTTACTGTTGCCTTTAATATTTTTCTTGCATATGATGCCTGTTGTTAGTAAAGTAACTATAATACTTTACTTGTGTAGTATGTTTTCCACTAGGGGAAGGTGAAGCATTTTCTAAGAATCAATTATTCTTCACAAGCCATTTCTGAAGCAGACATTATTATCCCCAGTTTACAGAGGAATAAAATGGCAGATAGGTTAATTAACTTGCTTAAGGTCATCCAGTGAGTTAGTAATGGAGTTACGACTAAAGCAAGATTGAGCAATTTTCATTCCCAGTCCCTTGATACAACTGCAAAGAAAAACTTCTCTTCAGTCTTAAACACTCCATTTAAATCTATCACCGAGCATTTATTCTGACGTACTGTTGAACTACAAATTAGTCAGTCTAAATGACAAATATGTAGACGTGTGGCGATCTGCAGCATCCACCCCTCGCTTGCCTGTTCAGCTTCCTGCACCCCCTGCTATGCTGAGAGCTCATCTTCCATTAAAATGGACGTGCTGCAGGCTCCTCTGGAGAACTGTTAATGCCACTTCAGGCATCAGTCCGAAGGCGTCGCAAAAGGCAGAGAAGAAGAGCACTTGCTGTCTTTCCCCAGGAGGCAAGAAGGCTGCCACAACAGGCCGGCTGCCTGGGGAAGCAATGAGCTTGAGATGCAAACTGGCTTTGAAAAATATTTTCTGTTTTTCTTTTACACTGCGTCTCCTTCCCAAGTGTTTCCAGTGTTAGATAGATGGAGTGGCAGCATTTAAGAGCTGCATCTTTGCAGATTTTGCTCTGAAGCACTAGTTTGATGAGTTCTTTTAAAGTCAAAATACCCTTCAAATGCCCACCCAAAGTCTGTCAGCCTCTTCGTACAACACATTCTCTCCAGAGGGATTTGCACTGTTAGACATCTCTGTGGCTCAGCGTGAATCGCTGTGCAACAAAATACAATTGAAGTTCACAAATTAATCATGAACACATAAAAAATGAATAAACACATATGTAGTCGATGCAGTTTTACCAAATGCTCAAAGGGTCCTTCTGCTTGACTCAGATGAAGACTGTTTTGCTCCCTCATATCAATATTTATTACAAGATAATGTCAGAGATTGTTTTACAGCATGAGATGTTAGCTTCAAGCATAAGATTTTTGAAAGAAGTTCATTACTGTGCCATACAGGCACCACTCAAATGTCTCATTTCCAAGATCAAATGAAGCAAGTTCAGACTCTCCTTGAAAGTGTCAATAAACAAGTGCCAATGGGCAAACTGCTATCCTTGTCTTTTCTTCCTTCCGGATATACCTTTGCTTTCTCAGGACAAACTCACACTGGCTCATGTTGCATTTTGTCAAAATCCTACCTTAAGGCTCCTTAACATTCAATTACAATTAAAATATATACCCAGGAGGAATTAACCAGATAAGTAGTTCCAGATAATTATTGATCAACTAAAATAATTCCAGACCAAACTATTCTCAGCTGTTTGTGAAGAGGTCTCCTCTGTGCTTATCATGAAGCCTCTTCTTTTTTTAACAGCTCTGCTGTGCTCCATGCATCTCTTCCCTCCCTTGATTTCTTTCCTTCACAACAGTCCCCATGCACACAGTGCCCATTTTGTCTCTGAGTCCCACGTCAGCTCACTCTCTTTTAACTCCTTTCTAGGGTTTCAACTTTTTTGCTCACCTCTCTGCCACTGATTTGCTTCTAAATAATTCATGACAAGTCCAAACACTGCTCTATTTACAACAAAAACCTCAGGAGGCTCTAACAATACGTCCATAAGATTCAGCTTATCACAAAGCCTTTCCTGTTGGCAGCCTCTGCTGCTTCCTTCCATTCCCTGTTACTACCATCCCTTAGCGTGTCAAGTCTAATTTGGACTGTGAAAACCTCAGAGTGACTATGTTCATTTTATGTGTCCAAAAGGCTCCAGACACGTTTCCAGTGCTACATGGATAACTTTACCCCAGTGTGATTAGCCAGGTGGCTCTGCGCAGCAGCCTATACAACACCAGCATCAGGAAATGGGTGTCTGGCTCTCGAGCACCCCATTTCCACAACCACCCCATTGGTCTGCTCTAGCATGATGGTGGATCAACTGCACAGGGATGAAGGTGTGCTACATAAATGTCTCAGATCAGGCACCCAAGAACATTTTTGGCTATGTAGGTTGCAAACCAGACCATGTAAATTTGCAGACTTGTTTAGTTGTGACTTTGCTGACTGCTCTGAGCTTGATATGCCTTCCCAAGTGTACGTATGCTGCCCTCCTGGCTAGCATGCTAATCCTGTCTGGGTGCTCTGCATGCAGTTCTCCTTTAACCCTGGTATTAACATTGATGTCATAAAGAACATACATCCCTGTGAGTGCAAATTTGTATATACACATCAGATTTAATGATATTTGCATGTTTTTGCATTGTTGACAAGAGGAACAACCGATTTTATAGGAAAAAAGGCAGAATAAATGAACTAATGCAGACCTGGACACATAGATGTGCCTCTATGGCACCAAAAAAGCCATGCTGGAGCACCTCACATGCACAGTGGTGCAACAACACTGGATCTCTATGGAGATAATCTTTGTAACTCCTTCCTAGCAATCCAGGGCTGTGATGGGTAATTAGGAATAAGAAAGCCAGTTTGCCTACTGCCCTATTGTGGACATGCTGTAATTCTCACATTAGATGTATCCATTATAATCTCTCTGAATTGAAGCTCAGCAGAACTTTAGACAATCATACATCAGCGTGATAATGGTGCAGGAAAACAGAAAGGGAACAAGAACCATGCTATTGGATCTGTGTTTATGCAAATCAATACTTTGAAGGAAACAGGAAGCATGCTTTTTCAATTGTCTATATGCCTGATCCCTGAGTTTGGGTAGCATTGCAAGAGGAACTGGATATTTTCATTGACAAGGAGAAACAAGATCAAACTAGACATTACTGAGAAAGGATAATTCACTAAATTGTAATATTAAACTATTTTGCCACAATTCTTTTAAGAAAAATAAAGCAATTTGAAGATGTGAGGAGGTAACACTACACACAAAATTACCATCATTATTTTAGAGCTGCAGAGACAGTAACTTGCACCAATACACCCTACAAAAGAGGGGTGGAGTGGGGTGGGAGTGACTACAGAGAATCAGGTTTCTGATTCTGCTAACAGTACAAAATGTGCTCACTTTGGACCTGTCTGAGAAAAGCCCCAAATAGGCAGCAGCAGTGTCTCATTCGAGTTTCTAGAGTTATTTTCTATGACAGAAGTTATTGCAGTGTCTACAGAATAAATATTTTGGGATTCTGAACATTTAAACAGTTTAATGATGGGACAAGAAAATAGTACTTGCTTAGGAGCTAATAATCATGATGTGATCGTAGAAGAAAAGGGATAGTGTTTAGCAATAAAATGTTCTCAAGCACATCTACAGATGCTTTAGAAAGACTATCTTCATCAAGGTGGTTGAAGTGATGAGAAAAATGGCTCAGAAACGCAGATAGAAATTTAAATGAGAATTCTTGTGATTTTAGTAACCAGTGAGGACTGGTAAATATGTACTAGAGTAAGCACTTGTCCCTGGGGGTGTTCAAGGGAAGGCTGGACGTGGTGCTTGGGGACATGGGGACATGTTTGGGGGTGACACTGGTGGCAGGGACGGCTGGACGAGGCGCTGCCAGAGGTTTTCACGTCCCTCGCCCTGCCGCCACACAGCGCAGCCGCCATGGCAGCCACCGCCCCTCACGCAGGCGCCGCGCCGAGGCGGGCGCCGCGCATGCGCCGTGCGGAGCGCGCTGCCGGTCAGCTCGGGGCCGGGGGCCCTGAGGGGTGGCGGGAGGGGGGGGAGCTGCGGGAATTTGGGGTGATGGGGGGAGAGGGGCGCGGAGCTGGGGTGTGCTGAGCCACGGGGACACCGCATGGGGCGGGTGGGGGGCTGGGGAGGGCGAATGGAACGGGGGGGGAACACACGAGGCTGTGGGGAGGGAGCTCGGTGTGGGGTGCTGGTGGTAGGGGTGTGCAGGGGGGCTGCAGGCGGCGAGCACGGAGCCTCATGGACGGGGCTGTTTGGGTTCCTCTGCGGGTCCTGAGGGGGAAACGGGTCCCACAAAGCAGGGTCTGTGTCGTTTAGGAGCTACGGGTAGTTGCAGCTTCAGGCTGCAGCCCTGGGAGGAGATAAATCAGTTATGGTGCTTGGGTTGGGCATGGTGTGCCCTCAGGGTGCTGCTGTGTGAGGAGGTTTGGGACAGTTTGTTGCCTTATCTGCCGGCAGGAGTTAGGGCTGGCAGCGCTGAAATGGGCAACTCAGCAAGCCCCAGGGATCATTACTTTGTGTAATAGATGCCTGAGGCTGTAGTGCCAGCCTGCCATCACCTGAGAGCTGCCACCTTCTCTCCCAGCAGCCCTGTTGCCTTCGCATGCAGCCTCTGACGCTTTGCCTTCCCTGTTGTTGCCCTTCCCATTACTCTCCTTGACTCAGAACACTTGTGTTATTTTCATGCTTGATTTTCCTCTTGCTTCTTCTGCGGTGCTGTGCTAACAGGAGTAAATCAAAGCGGACAGCTGTACATCAGTCCTCCGGAGGGTAGGAGCGAGGTTATGAATGCTTCGGATCCGTGTTATTAAACAACAGATCCCTGTTAGCCTACTGAAAGGGACTAGGCCCCGGCCTGCTGATTGCTCTTGTCTCTGCTCCGCGCTCGTTCATTTTTTATGCTCATCTTCTGGAATCAGCTGTGCAATACTTCTTAAAACAAGAATTTTAAACTTTAAAGGAAGCGTAGTGCAGATGAATGAACGCTGCTTAATTTCTCCAGAGACTTCAGTCATCATTTATTCACAGACACAGTACAGACAACGTACAGCTTCAAATGCAGGATCATGGGAGTCTTATTCCCGTCCATTACATCCATAAGATGGATGTTTCTGAAACTCCATGCAAGTATCTCTTGCAGCAGGAGATTATGCTTGTGCCTTACATCACCTCTCACAGGGGAGCTACCTAGCTGAGAAAATCCTTCTTCACAGCCCTTTAAGTGACTGGATGTTGTCTCTCGTGGCCTAGTAACAGTGGCTGTTGTGCCCTCAGAGCATTTCTGGTGCAGAGGGGTCTTTAGGTGGGAGACAGCTGAATGAGAACGGGAGGCTGCTGGTGTGGGGCCTCCTTGGAAAATCTGGTGTGGGGAAGTGATCCTTTTCCTTTACAAAGAGAACAGAGAAAAAGCTGGTGGAGGTAATTTAGAGCAGGGAATTGAGATGAGACAGATGTGTGTGATTCATGTAGGGAAATGTGCCTTATTTCTCTGTACAGTTAATAGGCCATTTTGGCTAGTTGGCTCTAACAAAGCTCATGCAGTACGTTAAAGGGGGTGAGAAATATTTAAGAGCAAAATTTCCAGGTTGCTTCTTCAGTATATTTTTCTGGTGTCTTATCTTGTGCTTGTGTAGAAGTCAGAGGTATCACGGTGGGGCAGCATTTTGGTAGAGGTCACTCTGTAATTGTTCCTGTGTCTGGAGTTTAAAGGGAGACTTAAGCAAGCCAAGTGAAAATTGCTAATAAACTAGCCATGGTAAAGCGTGTTTCAGTGTAGGTACTTCTGCAGTCTGTACTGGTTTCTGTAGTGTTCTAGTTAGGCTGCTAATTGTACCTGAATTAGTGTAGGTATATACTTTATATGCAGGATTGCGTGTTAAATATTAGATCAGTTTCATGGAAGGAATGAAATTACTTCAAATGTGATCACTGTATGATGAGTTGTTTTGATTGCCTTAATTAAGGGATAGCTTGCAGTACTCAATCATCTTAGAGATGTGGGTCTTTCGTTTCCTTTTGCAGGAAGGTCCACCTGCCTATGTGTGCCCCCTCATTCTCAGGAAATGTCCAGCGTTTCCAATTACGCCCTTCGAATGGCCCGTCTGAGTGCTCAGATCTTTGGAGAAGTTGTCAGGCCAACTGACACAAAATCTATGAAAGTAGTGAAGTTATTCAGTGAGCAGCCTTTAGCCAAAAAGAAGGAGGTCTACAGCTGGTATCCTCCTCACAACACCTACTATGCCCTCATGAAGAAACTCCGCTACTTTGGTCTCTACAGGTAATCTCTCTGCTCATGGGATGGGAGCAGGACTGGAGATGGGAAAGGGGTGGCTGTGAGCTTTGTTACACTTTTTCTTCATGGAAAAGAGGAGGAGAAAAAAGTTCAGTTTAGAAAATGGTTCATATGGAAATAGGTGCTTGATTGTTGCACTGAAGACAAGAGTAAAATAAATGTCTGCTAAGTAACTTTACCTGTCTGAATGATCACAGCTTTCTGTGAGAAATAGTTCAGAGGCAGTGCTCAGCAGCTGGTTATTTAGAAATAGTTCTTACTCTGACCTTGTACGAAAGGGAAGACAGCTTTTTCACAGAGATAGGTCTGTAGTTCAGAGTACAGCAAACCAGTGTGCTGCAAAAAGGTGACATTGTCTTAACGCTGTCTCAGTGCAATTTGTGTGTCACACTGTGTTAATGACTCATTTAAAACGTGAAATTCAGAAGAGAAGTGTGTTAGGCCAGAGGGGCTTTTTATCCTTAAAAATAAATTAAAGAAAATTAAATTCAAATATGGCTTAAGTAGCCTTACTAATTTCAGCTTCAACCAGTGTGTAATTTCTAAATGAAAAAAAATGCACTTCTGAAGAACATGAGCAGGTGTCAGATGCAGTCCTTTGGCTTCAGTCAAGTAGCGCTGTAGAAATCCCATAAAAGCAAAGTTGCTAACCCCGTGAAGTCAAGACAGATTAATTTCTATTGCTAGCATTGCAATTCTGGTCATCAAGGACTGCATCCAGGATACTCTTGGTTTAGGTGGAAATGTGAAGTCTTTCCAAAATAGCCGTGTTTTGACACAGAAAGCCTCAGTGATATGATAATGTTCTTTTGCCTTCTCTTCTTGATCCCAGGGTTCCTTCTTTAGCTGCTGTATGTACAGAGGGCTTGTGGAGAATTAGGTTTGCTGCTTCAAAATACATAATGAAGGGATGTAGGCTAAAAGGGCCTGATAATAACTTGCAAGCCTTTTGTGTTTTTTTTTTTGCTTGTTTTTGTGTTGTTATTTTTTTGTTTTATTAAATTTGCATTTAATTTTTGTGGTACATTTTGTGGTGCATTTGCGGTACAGCAACCTTAAGTCACTTGGGATGCAGCTGTGGCTTTTGAAAATACCTTTGCACTGAAAAATAGGGGGATAGATAAAATAGAATTTATTAGAGCGTAATTGAGGATTAATTATCTGTCAGCCCCTTCCTCCTCTTCCCTGTTTTATTCCTGTGTTAAGACCCTACAGTAGCTTTCTTCATAACTCATCACCGAAGTCACCTGAGAGCAGTGTCATGTACTAATTAGTGCTCAGCATGCCCCTCTCTCCTTAGAAGCTAATCACAGAATCACAGAATCACAGAATTTCTAGGTTGGAAGAGACCTCAAGATCATCGAGTCCAACCTCTAACCTAACACTAACAGTCCCCACTAAACCATATCCCTAAGCTCTACATCTAAACGTCTTTTGAAGACTTCCAGGGATGGTGACTCCACCACCTCCCTGGGCAGCCCGTTCCAGTGCCTCACAACCCTTTCAGTAAAGAAATTCTTCCTAACATCTAACCTAAAACTCCCCTGGCGTAACTTTAGCCCATTCCCCCTCGTCCTGTCACCAGGCACATGGGAGAACAGGCCAACCCCCACCTCTCTACAGCCTCCTTTAATGTACTTATACATAGCAATAAGGTCACCCCTGAGCCTCCTCTTCTCTAGGCTGAACAAGCCCAGCTCCTTCAGCCGCTCCTCATAGGACTTGCTCTCCAGGCCCCTCACCAGCTTCGTCGCCCTTCTTTGGACCCGCTCAAGCACCTCGATGTCCTTCTTGTAGCGAGGAGCCCAAAACTGAACACAGTACTCGAGGTGCGGCCTCACCAGAGCCGAGTACAGGGGGACGATCACCTCCCTAGCCCTGCTGGTCACACTGTTTCTGATACAAGCCAGGATGCCGTTGGCCTTCTTGGCCACCTGAGCACACTGCTGGCTCATATTCAGCTGACTGTCCACCATCACTCCCAGGTCCTTCTCTGCCTGGCAGCTCTCCAACCATTCCTCTCCCAGCCTGTAGTTCTGCTTGGGGTTATTGCGCCCCAGGTGCAGGACCCGGCACTTGGCCTTGTTGAACTTCATACAGTTGACCTCAGCCCATCGGTGCAGCCTATCCAGATCCTCCTGCAGAGCCTTCCTACCCTCGAGCAGATCGACACACGCACCTAGCTTGGTGTCATCTGCAAACTTACTGAGGGTGCACTCAGTGCCGTCATCCAGATCATTGATGAAGATGTTAAAGAGGACCGGCCTGAACTTTCTGTGCAGCATGGGAAAGCAATGTGCTATTGCTAGACTGCTGAGTTAGGTGCCAAGGGAGAAATTCTTATTCTCGATGATTTTTTTGTTTGTTTTCCATTGTGTTTAGTTGAGCAATAACAATAAATACAATGCAAGAATTACACACACACACACACACAGACTTCTTGCTGAAAAGGGCAAGCTTGTTAGTTCTGAAAGTACCAGAGCAAATCACATGAATTCATCCAAAAATTATTGCTAGCAGTAGCACTCAATACATTGCAGTGAGTTTCAGCCTGGGCTTTGCTGTTTAAGGAAGTTGATTTCTTTTGTTACCATACAGTGCTAAGGGCCTTTCCCATCTAGATATTCCCAGCAATAGAGCAAACTTATTTCTCGGTTTTTTTTCTCCCCTGTTTAGGGATGAGCATCAAGACTTTAAAGAGGAGATGAGGCGGTTGAAAAAGCTCCGTGGGAAGGAAAAACCAAAGAAGGGAGAAGGAAAGAGAGCTCTCAAGAAGAAATAGTGCCACTTCGATAACACAATGAACTACTCGGGAAGTGCTGGAGAACAGCTGTAATGCATTCTGTTCCCAGAATGGAGAGGGCCTGGCATGCGAGCTGTGTTTGGGGCACAAGAAACACATTGTGAAATACTGGAATCTACCTTGAAGTGCACTTTGGTCTTTGTGGTTTTATTTCTTAATTTCTGTAGTTGAAATATTCTGTATATGTTAGCACATGAGTTTGTCATGAGAGTCCTCTCCAACCCAAGCAGTAACAACAGTAGTTTAAAACAAAAAAAAAAGGCACTCAGTTCTTGCATACATCTGCAGCCCTGTTCCAGCTTTTCTGGATCTGGAAAATTGTTTATTTTCTTTATTGTCCATTTTACTTTCTTGCATTAATATCGATGCAGTTTTGCATGTGACCACAAAAAATATTTCCTAGTCCTACTGCTGCGTGTTACCTTGCCTATAGTGATGAGTTTTGCTCCAGGTAAATTCTGTTGATAATTTTTTTCTGAAATTGCTGTTAAATCTATGGTTTTGTGGTTTACACTGAATAATTATTGATGTTCCATTGCCTGACCACTGCACTTTCATGAATACCCTGAATATTTAGGTACTGCTACAGAAGAGGCTGAGAAACGAGGGTTCAAACCACTTTCAAGACCCCCTGCTAATTAAAATACAATATTTAAGCATACTGTAATAAGAGGATTTTGAATGTAGTTTGCCTGGAGGACTGGGGTGAAGTACTTTATAAGGTACAAAACAATTTTATGGATATGCAGTAAGTGTTTTTTTATAGCTAGGCTCCTTTGTCACTAATATTAATGCTTACATAAATTACCATTTTTAGCTGTCAGTGCCTGTCAGGGAACAGAAAGTACAGAAGGTAAGCGAGCTGCTCTGCCTGGCCGTGTGTGCATCTTGCCTGGGTGTGCCTTGAAACTGTATCTTTAATTTCCAGGCCACATAAACCTAGAGAAACAGCCCTGAGGTATTAAAGGAGAGCGATTCAAAGTGTTGAGTGATTGGAGCAGAAAGTGTTTGCACAATTAGCTTGGGGTGTGCTTGATTTTGCATACAGAGGCATTCTAAAGTAGGTAGCAACTGACCTGGGGACATTTTTAAAGCAAGCTTATTGAAATTTAAGTGTATTTTAAAGGGATCTGCCTGATCATTGAAACCGATGAAGCTACATAAATTTGTACCAGCTCAACACTTTTACTTCACCAAGGTTATTAATGCAAGTAGTGCCAGTTGTGCTGGAGGTGGTTTTGGTGAGCTGTGTAGCACTTGTTTAGTACCTGTACTGAAGTGCTAACTGGTTTTCTAAGCTCTTGAAGGCTGTGTTGTGGGAGAAGTGCCTGGCTTCTTACCACAATCAACAACACGCTACAGAAATGAGTAAGATACAATATATATGTAGCTGCGGTGGCAAATTTCTGTCTTACTCTAAATTAGTAATTTACTCCTTTTGCTCAACTCCGATGTGCCTGTGGCATTGTGATGTTGTACACATGATGCCTTGTGATTTAGCTGGCGCTGAAGTCTGCAGAACCTGCGATGGGCTCTTGGAGAAGCGGTCTGTTTGCTGGCAATTCCTGTTCAGGATGGAGAGCACATCATGGAGGGAGGTGTTAGCTGGGAGAGGGGAATCGCCTGAGGAGAAAGTATGGCTGCTTCATGATGCTTTGTTTCTTGCTGTGGCTGTGTGTGTGTGGAGGCTGCTCTGTTGGTTTGTTTGGTTAGAGGGACTAGTTCTCAGGCTCCACAGCCGAATTATTGTGACAGCCGTGGACTGCTGGTACCCATGGTGAAGTGTTCATGTGCAGCACTTAGAGCTTTAATAGTATCAGTGTGCAAGAGGAAGAGTGAATGCAATAAAAAATGCTTTGTAGTCTTGCTACAGTGAGTATATACAACCTTAAACTCTGGGGGTGCACTGTTCATGTTCATGTGTGTATGCATAATGGTTTACAGAGTACTGACACAGCCTGATAGACGAGCCACGCTTATCCTTACGAATCCACATTTAGCCTGCTTAAGGGCTGAGCATCTACAGGGAGAGCAGTAAATGCTGCAGGCGTTCTGTCTTCATGTGCCACCTTGCTAGATGCAGGTGTGGGCTCAGCAGCGTAACGTTAATTAAGCACGGGGACCAGATCTGTTCCTTGTCCACTCAAGTCACCTGGTTCTTTATGGACTGGGAGAAGGTCCGGTCATGCACATGGAAGTGAAAGGCTTCTGTGGCTGGTCATCTAGATTATAGGTTACTAGGTCCCCTTTTGCAACCCCACAGAGCAAACATGCTCTTAGAATCAAAGCATCGCACTGGGAACATATTTTGGGAAGCCACCTGACAGCAGCGTATCCTAAGAAGGGAGAGAAACGCACAGTAGTAGCTGTGAAACAATGCAGGACAATGACTTACTGGCTTTCACAATGACTTCACAGTGTTAACAAGTGGGTGGAATGAAGTCATTTTAAAGAAATCACAACTTAAAATAAAAAAAAAAAGTATGAGTACAAAAATAGCTCCCCTGCCTACTTGTTCATGTTTTTTCTTCTGTGGTATTAATTCCCTAGATCTACGTTTTCAAAAATGGTTGTTTCCCTTCCTCTGAGACCTTGCCTTAAAATAATGATGTTTCAGCATTGTTTGGAGTTCATCACAATATTAAGATAATCCATTGCTTGCTGGGAGCGTAACTCTTCTGTTCCAGAAAATACAGCTTTCTCTACTCCAGGAGGGATAGAAACAGGCACTTTGCTGCCTAGCTTCTAACAGATGCTCTATCATTTAGTGATTGATGGTGCCCTGAAGAAGCGTTAATTTTGTGAGTATCAGGACCTTCACAAATAGGAATTCAGTCTTCAAACATCATGCCAAGTAGTAACACAGTGTGTGTATTTAGAAAGAGAAGTAGAGTTTCAACTGTATTTGGAGGAGTAAGGAAGAAAATGCAGCTTTGTACAGCTACCAGTATAGTGACGTATCCATTTTACGCACAAATAATAAAGCTCAATTTTATTTTTTCCTTTCCCTTTACAATGATACTTTTCACCATTCAAACTCTGCTGTGTTTTGCTAGAAAATTCACTTTTTTTCCTGCGGTTATGAGCTGGCTGGCATATGTTTAGGTGGATGTTTTAATTCTTGATCGGAATAAATCCGGTTAAGTGATCTCTGAGGGAGTAACCGAGAGCCAGCCCCCTAACCTCTTCTGCATCCTGAACAGGTTAATTAAGTGCCGCTGCTGCCCTCTATTAAAGGTGAGCAAACGCAGACAGAGGAAATGTAACGTGAAGTCAGCTGCAGTGTGAGTGCAGCCTGTGTTGCGTGCTGTATGCCGCAGACCAGCCTTGGTGCCCTGCCTGCATTTGGATTGTGACAGGAATAGCAGCCCTGAGTTTAAGCAGGTATTGGCATTAGAAAACAAGGTCCCAAACTCTTCTAACAAGTACTCCACTTTGTGTCATGCAAGGAAACGCTGAAGGAATTACTGACCACGACAGTTGGTTTTGTGCTTCCTTACTTTATAGTGCTAATATGTCTGTATTTAATTATATTCGGGTATAATATAGTCGTAGCTGCAGAGAACTACCCTGATAATCACAAGTTAGTTTGTGAACAGGCTGACCCAGTTGCCACGTATCCTTTAGGGAGTGCAGTTGTTGCTAGACTTTATTACTGGAAGTCTTGCAGACAGACAAGCCAGCTTGCATAAGGCCGTGTTTTGTAATGGTGGAAGGAAGAAAAGCAGCGTAGTTTGCTGCTTAATTTTCTAGTGTGCTACAATACAGAAATATATGTGCTCTGCTCAGGAAAGTATTTAACTTGAAAAAAGTTTCTCCTAATGCAAAGTTTATTCTACTTACTAAACCAATGCAGTTAGTTCTCAGCAGCGTGTGAAACGCACCTGTTACTGAGTCGTGCTATGGTTTTAGACAAATATTTTATCTTGTCTGCATTTCCTTGAGTAAAATTAGAATCACAATCACTTAGTCAACGTGTCATGAGAGTAAGCTACTTTTAGGATGGTGGTTTACCCCAGGAGAACCTCGTGTGAAGAGCAGCTGAGTTTGGCTGTAGGAAGACTTGTACCTCTGTGCATTTCAGAGCTTTATTTCAGAGAGCTGCTTTCATGAGACAGTTGATAACATTAACACTAGAAATAAGCTGTGGCAAGTTACTGTGTTCACACAGTAAAGATATGTATGTAATAAGAAATCTGTTTTTACTATTAAATTGTATTTTTTAAATTTTTTAAAGCATGTGTGTACATAATCCTCTATCACTTTGAGTTCAAAGGCCATTTTAGCATCAGTTTTAAAACAAAATGAAAAAACAACAATCATCAGTCTATATGTTTTAGAAAAGCTTCATGAATCTTAAAGCCTGCTTTGATGGGGAAAGGCTGTCTTAGAGTGTTTTTTTTTTTCTCTCTTTTAAAGCACTAAGGATAATATGCAAGGAAAACAAACAACGGGGATGCCAGATTAGTTTCTTTAAACTCAGTTCTCCTGCATAGCTGTTCGATAGTGACTTGTGCAGTCCCTTGGGAGTAGATCCTGGAAACAAAGCCCTTCAAGGATGCTTTCTGTCCTCTCGACACTGAGACATGTGAGTGCAGGATCTCTTCTATCTAACCTCTTCCAGAGGCAGCTTCATTATTCTGAACTGTCCAACCAACAACTGGAAAAAACAAGTGTAATAACGTGTCTTGAGTACACAGAAGAAGGAATAGACAGGAAAACATCTGAAAGAATTTGCTTGTGAAGGCTCTGGAAGAGCAAAGCACAGCTGCAGTGTGCTTAAATGAGGGCCATAACCACCGTGCTGGTTGAGAAATTATTTAGGGTTGTCTAAGGCAATAGATAAGAAATCAACAGGATCATGATTGTTACCCTGAAGTATCTTTATAAGTACCACATTATTGTTCTGGGTGGAATACTGGGGAAAACTCCACAAGGTAAAATATTTAGAAAAATTGCAAATGCTCCCAGGAGGTGGGTTGTGGCTCTCTTAGTCAGAGCTAGCCTGAGTGAAGAGTTATAAAACAGCACAGGGACCACTTCTCTCTGGGAAGAGGAGGCAGCAGACTGGATGACCTCATATCATAGCTAGGTCTGCAAAAACAAATTTCACCAAGGGCTAAGAAAGGGTTTTTATATCCATTATGTTTTCTGCCTACACTTGAAAGTACTTTACTTCATCCCAGTGCTCCTAAAGCAGTTTGTAAATATTTCATAGAGTTCAGGGGGGTCTCTTCCCCTTCAGTTGTTTCTGCAGGGCTGATGTTTGCCTTATAGGCTTTTTCAGCAAATAGCTCTTCTATTTGTATTAGGGGCAAAAAAAAAAAAAAAAAAAAAAAGACCACCTGAGCTTCAGAAAGTCTAAAAAAGCATGGTACTGCCACATGCAATGGTGTGTCACTGCAAATACATAATTATAAATGTAATTCACTCCTGAATTTTCATTACAGTTTTGCCTGGATGAAAGTCAATGAGGTTACTTGGGCCCAAACTCAGCAGTGGATGTCTAAAATTTTATTCCAGACTCCAGACCAAAAGATGTGGTCAAACATTAGAAGTTGTGTGAACATTCAGCATCTCTCACTGCATCAGAGACGCTTGGTTCTGAATAACTGCTAGGTAAATCCCATTACAGTCATAGTCCCCTTTGCCTTTGACTGCTAGTGGTCTCTTCAGAACAGGACTGATGAAACAACGTCTCTTTAAAGCGTCTGTCATGCCTACTCATGCATGCTTCCCAGTGATGCTCAGCATTCTGATCAATGCTCAGCATTGATCAGAAGCACATCAGGCTGCCTGGGTACCAAGTGCTGGATTCCACAGAGGGGATAACCACAGGTGGCTTAAAGAAAATCTTACCCGCTCCGAGTCTGGACAAGTACAGTTCAAGTCCTGTACTGATATCTGGGTGATGCTGTCTAATTTGCAACCAGCAACCATTATAGATAATGTCTAACATTTCTAATTTTTGTAACCATGTGGGAAGGCAGCCGTGTGTGACAAGCAGCATCAACCTGCTGCTCAGAATATTTTGGGGGGAGCAGTAAACAACGACCAGTCCAGGCAGCATGAGGGCATGCGTTCAGTATGGGACTGGGTGGCTTACATACACAGATAGATATTTCTGAGATGTCAGAGTTTATGCTGGCTTTCTGTTTCAGGGAGATAAGGCTGCTGTTTCAGCAGATGTTACTCAGCACTGCCTTTAGTTTGTAGGCACAGGAGCATCTGTATGAAGACTCGAACCTGAAGCAGCATTCGGCTGGCTTGTCAGAACCAGCATGTTTATACTGAAGAGCAGGCAGCGACTGAGGTGGTGCAGACACCATCGTGACAGTGTTTCCTGGGTGAGTGGATGGGAGGCTATCGATGCACAGGCTGTGCATGAGGCAGTACATGTATGTGCTGTTTCTTGGCTGGCTGTCCTGTGTCTGTTTTGGTGCAAGTGATGTACAGGTAGGCATCGTTCACAAGCTCTAAGCTTCACAAACTCTTTTAAAACTAAAAGCATGTACCGCAAAGTATTAATTAGGATAGGAAGTGTCACAGTTATTACTGAAAGCTGGAAGGTAGCATGCCAGTGCCTCTTTATTTTTCTGCTTCTGCACTTAGTCATTCTGCTTATACGCTGTGATGTTTGCCAAAATACTGCTTCGTTTGCCTGACACCAACACAGCCAACAATGTCTCCGTATTCACAAACTCAAATTGTTTGATAGTATCACTGAGTTTATTAATAAACATTAATGCCCTCTGAGGACAGAGCGTAGGGTATTGATTAGGCATGCAAACCACTTAAAAATAAAAAGAAGCTCTAAGCTGGAGTCTTGCAGAATTCCCCCAGAGGGGGGTAACATAAATCGTGTT